CCGCATTGGTCTTATACTCATCCTTGCAAGATACAATTCCTTTTCAAAAATAAGCACGGAAATAACTATGCAGACGAAAATGTTTGGTTATACAAGTGAAGAACAGAAGAAACTGAAAAGGCTCGTAAACGCAAGAGTATATTATAAACCAATGAAAAACATCCTTATAATCTTTAAACGTTTTGCTCAAATAACTCAGGGAAAAAGGGGCCAGGAATCCCCTCAGAATACACCACAGAGCATCTAGAATTCTAAATTTTCCGGGGCCCTTAAGCGGGCCCCGGACCCCACGCCGTAAGACAGGCGTGATCCGCCCTCGCATTAGTCCTCGGAGCAAAAGCCACAACGCACCGTTGAAACAGTTTACAAAACGAAGTCAATACAATTCCTTTTCCAAAATAAAAAGCAAGAGAATGTAAAGACGTAAAATGGTTTTCGACTTTCAAGCATACAGTAACTTAAAAATTGTAAAAGTAAGAGTATGTTTTAAAAAAATCCTTAAAATCTTAAACACTTCTGCTCAGCTAATTCAGGGGAAAGGAGCCAGGAACCGCCTCAGATTGCACCACAGAGCATCTAAAATCCAAAATTTTCCGGGGCCCTTAAGCGGGCCCCGGACCCCACGCCGTAAGGGCTTCGCGCTCCGCGCTCGCATTCATTCTCGGAGCAAATAATTTTGCTCCAACAGTGTGCCCCCCGTTTAAAAAAATCCTGGATCCGCGCCTGTACACATAGTTCAGTCATGGTGGCTTTGAAACAGGCAATTGCATACATGTACACTGTAAATTGAACGTGCACCCTCACCTCGTACCCTCCCGGTAGCCCGCACCCTCTCTGTACCCTCTCCGTACCCTGTACCCTCCCCGTACCCCGTACCTTCCCCGTACCCTGTACCTTCCCCGTACCCTGTACCCTCCCCGTACCCCGTATCCCATACCCCGTACCCCCCTCCCCATACCCAGCTCCCCCTGTACCCTACCCCCTTCCCTTTCCCCTCCGCCTGTAATCCCCTAAACCCACTGTTTCTGCCTCTGCCCCCTGCCCCCCATATACCCTCATTCCCCTCCCCCCTAACCCCATACCCCTGCTCCTCTCCCTCCAACGAACACCTAGCAACATCGACTTGACATGCCCACCTCTGGTTGCCTAGCTACAGCGCAACTGCAAATTCTACTAGCGATTGCCTCCAGAAATAATAGCATCATTTAACATTTGTAACATTTGCCCAAGGGATTAACGGCTTTGATCCAATGAAGCATTATGGCCATGCATTGTATCTCACCATTTCATTACGTGTATGTTGACAAGTAAAGAATGTTATCAACCAGAAAATGCCAAGTGCGATTAGAGGGAAGTATGAAACCTATGGCGGGGATTTTTGGTTCTGTGTTATCACATAATAGCCTCAAGCACTTTTCAGGGATGAAAAAAATGGTAGAATCTGACATTGCACATGTGCTTCAACATGTTCAATAGCTAAATGTGATGCGATCAAGCTACATGAGTCGTTTGTCGGGAATTTTCATTTGGAGATACAGGCCAAAATAGGACCACTTCATCACATCACTTCATCACATCTTTTGGTGTTCCGACTTTCATAATTTTTGAACTAAAGATGGTATCAGCATGCAGTTTTCACAGCATTAATGCTGAGATTGTGCTCTTTTCAAATCTGTAATAAAAAAAAGTTGACCGGGGTCGAGAAACGACTCATTTAGCTTGATCGCATCGCAAATACGTACACAATGCAAAACTTCCTGAGGGCTTGTACTGTACATGTATGCACAAGTAAACAGGGATTTTACATCAACCTCGTTCCTAGGGATTGCTTTATTTTCAACCTCGTTTCCAACCCCTGGGTGGGAAACTTGCTTACTGTCCTGATTCGATACAGCAATAGCAATAATTGATTGATATATCGTGTACTTGAGATTTTTATTTCCAACGTGTGTTACGTATTCTACCTCAAAAACAATCCTCCCATTTCACGAAACTTATAGCTGCGCAACCTTTTAAATAAATTTTATAAATTATCTTGGACGAGGATAAATACAGCATTTACGATGGCTGTACATGTAGTGTATGAATTTGTTCTTCCACGAAACAGTTGTTGAATCACCTCAGCCCGCCATCTTGAAAATAACTTTGTCCGACTTTTTTCGGAATCGTGCGGCAGCTCTAAAAATTACAAAAGCAACATGTACCGGTACCTCAAACACAAAGCTGTGACTGTGAGTGTCTTGAATTAATATAAGTTGTGCAATGACAGGCTCCATGACGATCACGATTCACTTGTAAAATAGGTAATTTTCAGTCGCTACGCCACAACTTATGCCACCTAAAATGATTGGGCAAGCTGCGCCATTATTTATTGCGCAAGTCGCGGACTAACACACTATGAGACTTTCGCTTTTTGCGCAGTGTAGTGGAAGTTTACTAAAAAAAATTGATAATTTTGATTGGGTCAAATTGTTGTATCTGTTATAAAATTTAATCATCATGTGAGAACTTTATATGGGTCTCAAAGCGCTTCACAATTGTTACCCCTGTTCATCAGGCCATGAGACCAGTTTTCTGCAGCAGCTCGAGATCAGCGCAATCTGGTCTCTACCTTCACAGGTACCCATGTATACTCCTGTGTGGAGAGAAGTAATTGTACAATTGTAGTAAAGTGTCTTGCCCAAGAACATAAGCACCATGTTCCCCATCAGCGTTCGAACCCACGTACAATGTACGTACCACGTCACGTGAGTTGAACACTGTAACCATTGGACCACAGTGCTTCACACATATTGTTTTTGATTTTTTTCAAAGTAAGAAATTTTCCAGTACTACATGTGCATGCATACTATTTCCACCTTAATTGATTTTCAAGGACCGTAAAATGTGTTCATGTAAATAATTGATAAGAAACCAGGGACGTTGCCATATTTACATGAACTGAATTCCCGCCCTCAACTCTGTCATACCCGAAATATGCAAATGAGTAACAAGTGTGTGTCGACCGTGGAAATTCACTCCATTGATATGCCGATCAATGCGTATCGATCAATAATTATCGACCAATAAGCATCGTCAAGGGAACGGCAGTAGAGTTAGCATGCGCAGTGGGGTAGGGCAGTTTACTGCAGTGGATTAATCACTGATCAATATGATCAATATCAGGTTTAACTGTCCCTTATAGAATTATTGATTTTGCAGGATTAGGGTTGGGTAATGTGTTCGGACGTGGGAACAAAGTGAAGGGGGATTTCTCCTGATTGGGTGTGTACATGTACTTTTAGAAGATTGACAAAAATAATCTGTTTCATACATGTAGCTCTATGATCTAATGCAGAGTGATTACATTTGTAGGGACAGTTTCACATGCAAATAAGTAAAACGGTGATAAAGCTTTTATCATGCACTATTTTTTTACGTTTACTCATTTGCGCCTGTACAACATTGTATTACATTGTATTACATTGTATTACATTGTATTACATTGTATTACATTGTATTACATTGTATTACATTGTATTACATTGTATACATTGTATCACATTGTATCTATTATCTGATACAGCTCTACAGTGCTGTGGCAGTTTGGAGCAGCACAGGGACTACATTGTAGTTGGGTAAATTTGTAATTCATACACAAGTATGAATCATCAAGATTAGCAGAAAAATTCTCAACAATCATATTTTTCTTTACAAAAATACTTTATCAGTAAGCATACTTCCCTGCCATTCAATATTTAAAAAGAAAAGACAATAATTAATGCGCATTTTGTTTTGGCCCAACTTGACAAAAAGTAAATTGTACAAATTCCTATTTCAATGTCTCCCCCCCCCCCTCGAAAATTGAGTTACATGTGATGGAAATGTGGACTTCCGACTGTGCACAGTGAAAGTGCATCTCATGTCAGTACTCAAAGCGCTGTTCAAACTGACCATACATAAAACTGTAGGAAGTGAAAATTGATCTTCACGATCAATAAATATACCTTTGCGCTCGTTCTCAACCTCATTGTGTACACACGCAAGTATTTTTAACTCAAATAATTTGAGTTAAAGGGAATATACAACATTTGCAAACATCGAAAAATAAAACTACCAAGTTTTTACAAAATAACTTACTAGGATGTTGGTAAATGACAGTCTAAAGCAACCTGTAAAATTATGGCACCTGGTGTGAAGTCATTTTCAAGAAAATTGTATTTTTGTATACATTTCCAACGCTGGTCGGCCGACCATCGTTGGAAAAACCTAACTATTTTTCGACTTCTGCTCCAAATTTACCCTTTTTTTTTCAGTCCAAATTTTGTTTTCTATTGGTTACATGTTCATGAACGGGTGCAGGCCAGCTAGACTGGATCCCCTTACCTTACGATTTTCTGGCATCTATAAATTGATCCATTTTATCTTAAGTGGAGTCAGGGAACCAGACTACTTGAACAGTTTTGTTTTTCTTGGTTTTCCAACATTTTCGAACACAAAATTTCGAACATGTCAGTTTAACAATATTTGATCTATTATACTAACCCCTCAAATAGTTCATTTCTGAAAATTACAGCAACAGCCAATGATGTACATTCCCTTTAACACACCATGTGTTTTTGTTTGCTGTCTTCAAATGAAAGAGTGCATGCATTTTGAAATTGCTGATACCACATACGTGAAGAAATCAGTAGCTTAAGAAGTCTGGGAATTTGATATAATGATAAACTGTGTAGGTCATAGGAGTCTAATGTTTCAACCGAAATCTGTCTAGTTGACTAATGACTGAAGAGCACTCGCTCTAATGAGTGTTATCTTTCACCCTGCATTTTTCTAACGGTCGTTCAATGCAAATCCATTGTCTCCCCGAGATGTGTAGTTCTGCTGGTAGAACCTTCATTCATTAATTAGTAATAGTTTACACAATCACTCCCCTCCCCTTATCGTGGTTACTGTACACACCCCCGCCGAGCTGAATGGAAGCTCCCCAAGCAACCTGCAGCATCTGCTAATGAGCTTCTCTGCATCTGTACACACACACAGGACGGCGACGTGCGTGTACGTCATCTGACGGCACAGTGAAGGCATACTGGAATACATTGCCTCACTCGCTCTGCACACAATAGTTTGTGAATCGGTTAAAAATAACACAACTGCGGGATCGAGCGGTGGATATCTCAGTACGGGTCCGCCGATGCTGCCTGTCACTCGTTATTTCTGGGATCGTAGAGAGACCGGTACCCGTCACCCTTCATCCCGGTAACCACCCACCTCATCCTCCGTCCAATTTCCGCATCCTCCTCCTCAGGATTTTTGTACCGGAACGGATAATATTTTGGGGGAGATTGCTACTGTTTGAATTGTCACGCGAGTTTGGCACGGCGTTTTACGCATTGCGGTTTTTGCGGCGGGATGGCGTTCTGGCACGGCTCGTTTGTTTCCGTTCTTCTGTTCCTGCATTGCCTGTCATGTCAACCCCTGCGTGGCTCCACCACGTGGGAACGTAAAGGTGAGATTGTAAGATGTAGCTCTGTTATACAAAAAGTACATCTGTATACATGTGCATGATAGATGTACATGTATGTACATGTACATATATTGTGTACATTTTCCATTGTAATACAAGATATGGCATGGTACAATGTACACACACATGTACAGGTACCCACCTAATTTGTGTACTGTACATGTGTCCATGATGTAGAATTATTTATAATGTATGAGCACATGTGTCACATGTACTTACATGTACATGTATACATGTATGTACATAATTTTGTTGGGACTGCCAAAATTTATAAAAACCATTACTAATTTGTTTTTATAAAACATTGAATAGACCGTTACAACAGAGTTTTGGAAATGGTTTACAAAAGTGTTAAAAATTTGCATACAACAGCTCAGGGTAAAATTATACTGCATTTAAATTAACTTTTTATCTGAATAAATTATAATATTCTTATTTTAAAATTATAAATTGTTTCTAATGCACAAAATACCAAGATGTCTACATTGTGTAGGTGAATATATTTTCCATACATTGTGTGAATTGTAATGTGGGTGTATAATGATGTGCCTATAAGACACGGAAACGAAAATGAAAGATGTTTGATTAATAAACATTAACAGGTTTACGGGAACATTTGCAGTTAACATGAAATGGTAGTGACACATGGCACATACACATGTATGTGTACATTAAATTTGTGCAAGTATACACTGTACATGTACATGTACATGTATGAGTAGTCACGCACAGGTGTGTGTACATTTGTACATGTACGGTACAGCTCAATTTATCCTTCACCAGTGAACTGTTATTATTAGCATGTTTTATTCAACATGTTAACATCTTGTCAATTTACATGTTTTCAGTGGTTGGTTATATGTCATAAAAAATATTAATATTAATATACATGTATTCAATATTATGCCAAAATATACAATGTACATGTACAGGTACATGTTTTTAAAAAAAATACACAAAATACACATAGATTTGCTGTTTTGTTTTGCTCTTTTTTTCCCCATAAGTTTACATACCGATACGTACAAATGTACCGTTAATTGCCCCATTGTTATCCAACGAAGGCTGTTTCTGATGTAATGCCTGTAGTGAGTGCGCGAAAGGTCTCTTGGGAAAAAAAAGGTCTCTTGGAAAAAAAGGTCTCTTGAAAAAAAAGAAATAAAAAGACAACAAATCCACCCCCACATTTTGTGGCTGTTGTTGCATTGAAGATGGCTCATTAATTATCAGTGAAAGCACTGGCTGTTTTTCTTTGTTGTACCCACTGAGTACATGTTTGAAATGCAGATCTGCGGCTGTAAGGATTTAGAAATATTTTCTGAGTTTAATCCTTAATGACGCGGGCATTTCCAGTGTTATGTTATGTCTATGAGAGAGCTTTTAAGAGCTTAGTGAATAAACCTGAAAATATATTTGTTCAAATCTTACATCCGTCATCTAGTATTTTTGCAAGGAGATTACAGACTAGGAGTTTTGGATTGTGTTTTTGAATCAAATGTGATGCGATCACGCTAAATGAGTCGTTTGTCGGGAATTTTTATTTGGAGATACAGGCCAAAATAGGGCCACTTCATCACATCACTTCATCACATCTCTTGGTGTTCCCACTTCCATAATTAGTGAACTAAAGATGGCATCAGCATGCGGTTTTCACAGCAGTAATGCTGAGGTTGTAGGCCTACAATGTACTCTTTTCAAATCTGCAATAAAAAAAATGTTTGACCAGGGTCGACAAACGACTCATGTAGCTCGATCGCATCACAAATTAGATGGTTAATAGACCTTTACCATGCTGCCACCATTTCAATCATGTTCTCTGTATTCAATAACAGTACTGAATGATAATGTTTTTGTGCAAAAAGGAACCAGACTATTTTTCCTTCCAGCCTCGCTTTGGTTACGTTGATTTGAATGGGGAAAAAATCAAGATGGCCGCAACATGATAATGGCCTATTGGCTCTGTCGCGGACATTACACTTCTTTCATAGCACTGGAGTTGCCGTTAATTACAAATATAAACCACAGCCCCATCCATGTACATGTACATGTACATTGTACACGTATTAGTGTGCTTTCTTACCACCCAATGCATACATGTACATTTGTACATGTACAGTTGTATGACTTTGTCCTTCTTTTTCTTGTAAAGAGTACTGTTCATGCAGCTGACTGTCACGTAAAATTCAAAATTTTTCTTACAGATGCGTTCCCCTATGTTTTTCCTCCCGAGTTTCATTAAAAAATATAAATGTTTTTTGAATTGCTATTTTTCATATTATCCACCAACATTTGGTTATTAAATTGTTTCTTCACAAAAATCAAATTGTGGGCTGCCAGACAATAGCTGTAATTTGGCTCTTGCAGGGCGGGTTCATTTCTGTACAGAGCAAAGTTCCTTTTTCAGAGCGTTGGAGACGCCCAGAACTTGAATAAAAGTAGCTTTTCGTTAAAACAAAACATATACATGTAAATTGAAAATCCGTAGGAGAAAAAAAAATCCATTTTTTGAAGAGCATGGGATGCATCCTCGCATGTTACATTTAACAATGGAATTGTTCACTTATTTATTTTGTTCAGAAATGATCAGTGATCAATTATCTGTTTGTCAAAATTAAAAGCTACATAGCATCTGTTTTTCCCCCAAGAAATGTTCAATCCTTGATAATCTTAAAGTCTGCCCATCTCAGTTCAAAATTATTGGGCTTTTCCTGGAATAGACACTCACAAAACTAGAAGCCACTCTAGAGATTTGACTCCTCCCAAAAAAAAAACAGTTTAAGTTCTGTCCTTTAATAAATAAATTACTTTTAAAGTGCTAGACCTTAAAATGTTTCACAAAAACAAGTCCTACATGTATCTTATCCTTCTTGATTATAAACAACAGTTTAACAACATTTTTATCAAACCTGGAGGAATAAACAACAGATTTTGTGAAGAAACTAAAAAGATTCTGTGAGAGATTTTCCTTATCCATGAATTTTCGTGCTGCATGGAAGTTTTAAGAAACACAGCTCCACTGGGAGTAGGTTATTTTTGGCCGCTGCTTTCTCATATTATTGAGTCAAATTGCAGAGTCTCCTAACATAACAGCTGAAATAAACGGCACCAAATGAGGCATACAGTGTCAATATTTTGTCAGGGGTCGCGCCATGGCGTAAATGACGCCAGAGTCGACAATTTTCAAAATTAAGAAATTCTAGTCACGGCAGAGCTGTAAGATGAGAAAATTAAAAGCTTTTGGAGTCAATTTATTGTAAAAAATACGGTCTACTAGGATCTTGCTGATATTATTTGATAGTTATTTCACAATTTAAAAAAGACTATTAAGTGCTTGCACTTTTAGTTCTCAGTTGGAAAAAATGACTGAAAATCAAAAGAGGGATTTCACTCCCTAATTTTTTTTTTTTAATTAAAAAATAAAAGAGGTTGATTGAAAAATCTTTTCAATTTATTTTTCAGTTGGGGAAAAAAATTGACTGAATGTAAAAAGAGGCATCTCTTCTATCAGATGAAATGTTCTTTTCCTTTTTCCTTTCATTTTATTGCAATTAAGGCAAAATTCCCCACTTCGATCGCCCCGCGTAACGGAGTCGAACATGCCGCTGCTCTCGAAATGAAATTCCTGACGTCTTCCGTGAGTGTGATTGCGTCAAAGAGATGCCCATGCATGACCAATTGAAGAATTATTCTTAGTTTTTTTTGTTTAGTTGTCGTGTACGCGATCACTTTTCCGACCATATGGAGCAGTCATCATATCTGTACACACAATGTCACGGAGGTGTACCGTAAGCCATACGCTATTCAACTCATGCACATCGTGCCGCTACTTAATCTTTACTGTCCTTAACGGGGGGTTTTGGCCGCTGGACGGAGGGGTTTTTTTCTGGTAGTGACGCAGCGAGATCAGTGTCTTTGTTAGAGTCACGTCTTACATTATACATGTGTGCGAAGGATTTTTCTTTGAATGAAATTTGAATACATACCTTTCTGTACGATGAGATCATCATCTGACTTCTGTAGTATTCGATGAAAAATCAAATTTAGAAAAGCGACTACAATGGAATGGGAATAATTTTAGGGGGAAAAAACAAGTTTGTTGGAAATTTATGGGTTTTTTAATCTAGAAATAAACTACATTTAGAGGCACAATTGTTTTTTCAGTTTTCTTGTTATCATTCAGTACATCTGTTTTGTTCTTGTCAATTTAAATTGTTCATACAATGTGAAAATAAAGCAGTAAAAAATGTAAAAAAAAAAAAATGGTTCCAAAATCTTTGTATCACACACAAACATAACATTTATAAAATAGCAAAAAAGCAAAAAGTTTAATATAAAAACCTCTAATAAAAACTTGCGTTTTCATTGCAAAAATTCCTTCATGTCAGAAAAATGTCAGACCCATTCAATCAGACTTAAAATACATTGTGAAAGACAAGTTTCATAAAAATACTGATTTTATGATCTGTTTTACCGTGACACTGTAAAACACTTTTTTGTCAGCTGATGAGTTCACACCAATCCCTGTACAGTAACCTTTGAGATTTGCCGGTCATTGATTTTTGGTTGTTCCGTCACACAGCTGTGAAGGATGCACACTTAGTTTTGAATCAATACTGAATGTACATGTATCAACACTTGAAATTTGAAGTTGTTGATGGTCTGAAAACTTTTGTCTCTCCCATGTGTGACATCTTGATTTGCGTGTGATCAGTCAACCATCGAGGTCTTTCGAGAAAATTATAGAAATGCGTCGCCACACTGCCCTCCCATTTCATGTCTCCCATCGAGCGTAAATGGACGTCATTACTGTACTCTCTTTCACCTATTCTACACTGACGTTCTCCGGCAGATATCACTCCGACAACTGATTATTAACAAAGATGGAACGACAATATAAACTTTAATCAGCTTCAGACGCAAAACTCATTTTGTGTGGCTTATTAAGGTCGCAGTGCACGGCCGTCCCGAATCTGTTGTCGTCA